GGCGGGGCGGGGGGTGGTGGGGGGGCGGGGGGCGCTTGCTGCTGTTGCTGCTGCTGCTTCTTCTGCTTGTTGACGCTCCCGATGGGCCTCCCCTTTTTCTTTCCAGAGGGAAAATATCCCTTTGGAGGGAAACCATCTGGCTTGGGTGAAATATTTGTCACGTCTCCATCCTTTTCTTCAGACTTTGGATTTGGTTCAGAAGTAAACACACTGGAAGGGGAAATTGTTTTTGAGTCGGGAAAGGTCAGAGCTCCAGCTCCGCCCACGGCCCCGTCAGACCTTCCCTGCCCACCCGCCTTCTGAGAAGGTGGCGGTGCCGCCGTGGACCCTGCTCCTTCTTTACCAACACTGGTGCTTTCAGTGACCTCTTTCTTGGTTTTATCATCCTCATTGCTTTGCCACTCTTCCGACGACCTCGGAAGAGTAATTTCACCAGCTGTATCCTGGCTGGCGGGCCCTACTTGATCTGACATCTCTCCTTTTCTCTTCTCAGCCTCTGCTCCATGTCCAGCCACATTTCCTCCATCAGGTCCACTCTTAAGGGACAGGATGTCATCAAGAGTGACAGTATCTGCACCAGTTTCAGCGCTGTTGGTAGAAACGCTTCTCCTAATGTTGGGAGAGGTAATTTTTTGCACAATAGCTTCCAGTTTTAATCCTCGCCCCTTTCTGGGGGGCAGTATTTTGGTCTTAGCCGGGCTCGTGAGGGAAACCGCGGGGCAATTCCGACTGTCGGGACTCGGCAGGTCCTTGAAGGAATCTCCTTTTGCAAGTGACTTGCCAACATCTTGGCTTTGAGATGAATGGGCATAGGAGTTGTATGTTTTGTCAGCTCCTTCTTTCGCTGAAGTCATCAGTCGCCCTCTGTCTTCACTGCTGCTGTTCTTCATGTCCTGGGGCTGCCTTTTGGTAGGGATAGGTGAGATGAAGGAACGGACTCTCCTCCTCATAATTAATGGATTTTGAGGAGACTGGTCTTCCTGGCCAGGCAGCCTGAGCATGGCATTACTAGGCTTAGGCAAATCTGCAGATTCTTCTCGGCGATGCCCATCGCTTTCTTGAGGGCAGAATCTCTTTTGGTTGGCTGCTCCAAGAGGGCCACTGCTTTTGGCAGGAGAAGTTTGCCGAGAAAGGTCCCAGCCAGACTCGTGATGCTGCAGCTTCTGGTTGCCATGCTTCAGCTCACTGCACTTGCTCTGAGCACCGTCACTCCCCATAACACAGCGCCCGGACTCCTGGCTTCCAGCATCGTGGTAAGAGCTACCTTGAAGGTACATCATCCCATCCTTGTCGTTTTTTAAGGGACTCCTTACTCTTTCCAGGAACTGCTGTTGTCTGGGGCTCTTCCTTGCACCTTCCTGCCTGTGCTGAGCTGCAGCAATCACACCCTGAGCAGCGCTGCTCGCCCAATCTTTGTATTCTTCTTGCTGTTGCTGGTATATCTGTCTCTTGTAATGATACTGGGAATTTAAACTCTGGTTAGGGTCACCGAAAGCATGAGGCCTGGCATTCGTGTGATATGCTGAAGCCAAAGATGGGCCTTCTGAATTCTGAGGGTAAGCAGAATGCAAGGAACCCCTGCTCACTCTTTCGGAGAGCGTCATGTGCGGGTTCATGTGATGCAAATCCATCCCTGGGCCTCTGCTTCTGCCCGGTGACATTTTCAGCTTATCAGCAAGATCCTGAAATTGAGAAGGTGATTTACCCCTGCTGCTTCCAGTTCTGCCAGGTCCTCGTCTCATCTGCGTGGATCTGCTCTCCTGCTGGGGACTGTAGTCTGGAGCAGCATCGGAGACCGCGGCTCCAGGGTTGGCGCTGCCTCGGAAAGATTCGTGCTTGAGGCCGGCAGGATGACAATGATCTCCTGTTTTTCTGTTATTGAGGCTAGCTGAGCTCTTTGACTGTTCAAAATCTTCTTCCTTTATTTGCCCACTGTGAGATTTCATCTTTGCTTCCATGGATAGTAAACCACCTGGGAGTATCACTGACTGGTTCAAGCCTGGGGCAAGACGCTCGCTCCTTCCGCTCCTGGCCTCAGGACCCATGTGCCCCATCGGGTGAGGGACAGGATCTCTGACAAGCTGCCTTAACGGGGAGATGTCACATATCACTGATCTCCTCTCTGAGAGCGCTCCCCCTTCATGGGCAGAGGACTGAGACTCCACATCGAACTTTCTAGCAAGAGGGTAGTCAGCTAGACTGATCTGTTTCATGTCAGGAGCGGCACTGCTGGACTTCCTATCCCAGGGACCCCAGTGAGGGCCTTCCAGGAGAGACCCCATGCTTTTATTTAAGAGGCCTCTATTGGTCAATTCATTGGCCTGACTAATTAAGATGTTTGGCCTCATGGCTCCCTCCAAACTCCCAGCCATCCCAGAATGCTCCTGTGCATTCCTAGAGTACCTTCTGTCTGGATGATGGTGGTAACCCTGCAAGACCTCCTGGAGGAGGCTGGGAAACTTCTCATTCCGGCCTTTGCGCTCACTGTGCCCTGGAAAATCCCCTTTTTCTTGACCAGAAGGATACTGTGGAAAGCCACCGATGTTCCTCTGGATACCAGCTGCTATATTATCCTTGTAACTATACCTTAAACTGCCAGGAGATTTGGAAGGTTCTGTTCTTGCAGGAAAATTTGGCCCAACGACTGGATGACTGGGCTGGCTGTTCCCCTCTCCATTATGGTTAGTGTTATCTCCACTTTTGCTGCCTTTACTTGCCCCTGGAGTCTCTGGCTGTGTCCCTGCATGCCCAGCTTCTTTAGCCCCGCCAGCGCTCGCTGGTGCCGGGGTGGCTGTGGAAGCATCATCCTGGGTGGGTTTATCCTGTCCACCTGACTTTTCTACCCTTCCTGCCATGGCTTCACGGGAGACAATCACCCCAACTGCCTTTTCATTCACTTTCGGGGCATTTTCCACAGCCACCACAGCTTCCTTCCCATCAGGGGAAGCCACCTCTTCCCTAGCTGCAGGGCTGCTGCTGAGCTTTGACGGCTCATTCTGCGAGCCTTGTGCTGGTGAGGAGTTGGATCTCTCTAGGTTACCCCCTTTGTAAGTGGTGTCCGAGCTGGTGCTCTGGCCACTCAGCTGTCTCACTCTTT